ATTACTATCAACCCCAAGAACAATGGAGAGTAGTTATTGCCGTCTGGAGATGGGATTTGTAAGGAGTAAGGCAGGAGACAAGGATGTAAGTTAGGAGGCGATGAGAGTAGGTGAGTGAGATTATGATGGCTGGGACCAGAGAACTGGATGAGTTGGATAGAAGTTGGTTGGATGGGAAATAGGAAAGAAGGGTCATGAGAGACTCAGATAGTCCTTGAGATTGAAAACATAGGAATAGTGACCAGTTTGGGGTGAGTATCGTGAGGTCAGTTTTGTACGTGTTGAGATTGAATCCCTCAGGCATCAGTTGCAGAACACACTTCACTCCAGCGTGTGTAGCAGGAAGGCATTTAACACAGGCTGTTAAGTGGCTCTTAGAATTGTCAGGAAGGCTGAGGAAACAGAATCCGGTTGAAGTTTCAGGGGCAACCTCTAACGCCACTCCTAGGAACGAGGCTGCTACGGTAGCTGCTGTCTCTTCGATAATCTTGAAATCAGGAAGCTGCCCCCTCTAGCGCAACACCACTGTTTCGAACAGGAAACCACCACAATCAAGAAGCTTCTCCTGCTGCCAGTTCTAGAACCAATGTGAATCTGCAACAGACTATGTCAGCAGAATGGATGCTCCTCTCCTTACCCCCAGACTCGCCACACTTACTAATCTAGCATCTGAACACTGGGACCTCTGCAAACTCAGTTGCAAAAAATCCAAATGCCTCTACAGCTGGGCTTGCTGGCTGATTGGACAAATGTTCCAAAATCTTGTCCATCTCAGACTAAACTATTCTAGAGTTCAAACTGCAAGAGAATAAGCGGAGTATATTTTTAGCTTTCCAACTTCTGGAGCAGACAAAGTCACACTAGAACAGTATTTTGCAAACTGGGTTGTGACTTATGAGAGCATCGTAAAATCAGTTCAGGGGGTCACAAGATTTTTTTTCTTAGTCACAAATACTAAGGGTAAGTATTACTTAATGAAACTTTTGTCTTAGGGGTGTGTGTGTGTGTGTGTGTGCGCATTCTTGTTTGCAGAGTAAAGCATTTCTTCCTCTGGGTCACAATAAAAAAAAACTCAAGAGTCACTGCACTAGACTTTGAGCACCAATCTTCCATTGCAAGGTCTCAGAGAGAACTGATGGGTAGAGCCCAGTGGCTACTGACTCTCTGGGGTTGGATTTTAGGAGAAAATCAAAGCTGTTGATACAGATTATAAAGTCATTGGCAAGAAGATGTCATTTGGAGCTATGGGAGTTGATTAAGTCACCCAGGCAGAGGGTGTGAAGTACAAAGAGAAAGAGATCTGGAACAGACCCCAAGGAACACGGATATTTGATCTTGGGGGATAAATTTCCTTCTGGAGTTGTGCTCATCTTGTACTCTGAAATTTTTCATTTACTCTCCAGAAAGAGAGCTGGATCCAGGGAAGCCCCAGAGTGCTTTGGAAAAGCATGTTTCAAACACATGCTGACTAGAGCTGATTTTGCAGCATCCTGGAAGAGCCATGGTACCGACCATGCTGGATCATAAACTGGCATGTGGCATGGGGGCCTGGCCCTGCACTGGCACCCAGGGCTTGTGTGTGGCTGGATGTGCAGAGCAGAGAAGTTCTTAGGAAAGATGGAAAGAGCTCTTCAGATTCCAAAGCTCCAGCTCATGACCTCTAACCACAGAGAGGATTAACCTCACTCTCCAAGGTTGACTCAGTAGCTTTAGGGTACTATTTATAATTTTTAAAGAGTATTTTTTCTGTATAGAAAAATAGCATTGAGGGGTGGGAGTTGTACAGGAAGATATGCTTATTACAACAAAATCGGGAGGCAAACTAAATCCATAAGAAAATGGGCAAACTGGGGTCTATTCAAACAATAAAATAGTAGCTAGCAGTTAAATGAATGAACTAGCTCTGTATGTATCAGTCTGGATAAATCTCAAAAACTTCATGTTACATGAAAAAATTCAAGTCACAAAATATTATATAAAGTATGATATCATTTATTAAAATTCAAAAAACCACACAAAATTGTACTATATATTCTTATGGAAAAACAAGGATAAAGTTATATAAGCAAAGGGGACACACCAACTTCCGGGCAGTGGTTGTCTCTGGGGAGGGTGTAGGGAAATGGAGGAGGAGTGGGACTTCAGCTCTACCTGTATTATTTAATGTTTTAAAAGAAGCAGAAGAAAACATAGCAAAATATTAATAGTTATTAAATAAGCTGGTGAGGCATGGGAAAAATATTATTTTCTGTTCTTTTCATAATTAAAAATAAATACAAGCATATATCAATTTTGCAATGCCCAGAGCAAGAATCAGGCTTCCTCCCTTGACCCCAGGTTAAGCAGATGACCCGTAAAACAATTACTAGGGAAAAGTACATATATATACACATACACATATATGTACATATATGTGTGTATATAATACACATATATACATATTTATGTGTACATAATACACAAATATGTATTTTATATACATACACATATATATATGCATCACTTCAAATTAAAACAACAATCTTTTAATTTTTTATTGGAAAAAATATTGGCCTTGTCATATATTTCTTCAGTTTCTGACAGACAGAACTTTTATATCATGAGACCCTAACCCTTTTCTGTGATTTGACCATGTACTGAATCTACAGACCCTCTGTGCCTCACATTAGAATGATGATCCTGGAGTGATTGGAGTGGGGACAAGGCAGAACAGAGGAAATCCCTGAATGCTGAGGACTGCTCCAATGGAGAGCTTGAAAGATGTGAGCTGAGGAATTATCGACAGGCTACAGGAGAAGATCAGAAAAGCCTGGTGGGAAGTGCAGAGACAGGAGTCAGGAGGCCGGGCTCGAATCTTAGCTCTGCTGCTTATCCCGTGTGAGGACATGACAAGTCCCCGCCCCGTATTGGTCTTCCATTCAAACATTGGCTTAGTTCATCTCTCAGGATCTATCTAGAGATGACACTGACTCACTGCTCTATCCCGTTAATTTAAAAGCTTTGTCCCCCATTGCCAGAATAATCAGTGGTATTCCAGGGATTCTGGAAGCCTCTCTTTTTTGATAAATTCTGCCCAGTTTCTCTCAGCACTTTCTCCCTTTAGAGACTGTTCATATCAACCCTCCTGGGGTGCTGGACCATTCTCTGAGCCAACCTCTGTGTGACTTGAGGATTCCGAGAAGGAACTGGATAAGGGAGTTACAGGAGGCATTAGTGGGCAATAGACAGATTCCTACCAAACGTTGAGAAAAAAAGTCCTATGAATTTTCCCAAGGGCAGGAATATATTTAGTCTACATTGACTTGTTATTTTTCATCGTCTCACCCATCACCTTCCTGTACAAGTTCTACAAGTATACTGTGTGTGTTGGGGTCTCACTCAACTGAGTGAAGTTGCATTTTCACCAACGAGGCATATGTTTCAGGTAGCCTGGGTTCCCAGTTAGAAAAGTTATTTGTCTTACTTGCATAGATAGTGTCATTTGCTCATAACATTCCCAGGGGCTGGTTAACCCTCAGGGAGTAACAGAATTTAGTTTTAAACTTCCTAAATTGTCCATTCCCCATGTATCTTTCAATTGAGTTATTCATGATTATTCTCTTTTCCAATTTTTGTCTTGCTACAAGATTCCTTTAAGTGCTCTACCCCCTGTGTCTTCAGCTGTTGGCTTTTGGAGCATTGCTTAACAGAGACTGACAGGAGGAACCACTTGCAACGCAAAAATCATGTACCTCTGCTCAGAGGATGGTTGGTGAAAAACGAAAATGGAATCTTTCTCAAGTTAGAATATGACGGTAGAAAATTTGTTTAGCTTACACATGCTCAGGTTGCAGATACTTCAGGAATGCATGAGTTGGTTAAGCAAAATTCATTTGTCCTACAGAATTAGGGAATAACTCAAATGCCAGATGCCCCCTTATTCTATAGCTGTGGGTCCTTAAAACCTGTCTATGTTTTTACCACATATCACTTGGCTTGCTGAATTCAACACCTCTCCCAATGCCCGCTCCTCCCCAAGAATCTACTCACAGAAAGCGTTAAAGAGAAATGGAGGCTTTACTGACTATTTCACAGAGCAGACCCAGGAGGAGGTTGACGTAGCACACTGCTCAGCAAATGACTTAAAATTGTCCCTTAGCCAATTTGTTCTCCCAAATCCCTCTCATCCATACCACCATTCTTGTTTTTTTATTTTTCTTTTAAACCTTTTTTAGTCTTTCTCTGAATTCCTACTCCTTTCTTTTCTCTCCTCCCTCTTGAGAAAACCACAAATTTTTCTCCATTCTTTTGCACAGCAGTTAAGGGTCCGTTTTCCTTCTGCAGCATAAAATCAGGGGCTTACACTTCAAGTCAAATGGTCCTTCTTTCAAACAAATAAGATGCCCCTTCAAAGATGATGGCCAGATGTAAGGATTGATGAAACTCGAGAAATCCCCTGGCTACCCGAGTCAGGAGAGGAAGTTGCTATTGTTCAGAAGTCCTTCTCGCCATTTTTCGGGTCATCATTGTCTATCAACAACTTTGTGGGGCCTTCAAAACCCTCCACAGAAATGGTTTTCTGAGAGGTGTTTGAAGCAGGGAACAGAAAAAGATCGTGCTAGAGATGGCAGCAATTGTTCCCTGACCAAATGACCACATCGCCTTGACCATTGCACGCTGATTGAGTGACAAGTGCACACACAGCACTTTCCTGACAGAAAACAAAAGCTGTCTGTTGTTGGCTTACTGTCAGTCTTAACTGGAATGGAGTCAAGCCTGGTCAGATGGCCTCTTAGATTCAGGATGGTCAGTTTGGCAGTCCTTTCTTTTATACATTTTAGATCCTACAGTTCACATCATTTGGCCAGGTACCCTGAACCTTGTGGTCCAATTCTGATTCTGCTAAGGTGCCATGCAGCCAGACACCATTGGTTTTATACTAGTGTGAGGGCCTTTCCTTGGGTTGGGGGCTTCTGGAACACTGCCTGGATTCTTGGTTCACAAGTCTGTGATGAGGGAGCCTGGTCTTCTGAGATGGAAGAAACTTTGGAGAAATTCAAATCCAGCCCCTTCATTTTTCTGATGTGGATCCTGAGTTCCAGGGAGGGGAAAGGGATAGCTCCAGGTCATACAATGAGTTAGTGGTTGGGCTGGGGCGTAAATCCATCCCTCTGATTCCCTTGTGGGACTCTGTCCACCACATATTGCTTCCCTGCCTTCTATCTGAAAGATACATCACTCGAAACAGAGTGTTGACCCTGGAACTGTATCTTCCCAAGAGACAGAAGGAGAAGCATACTATTTAATACGCTTTGTGGTTTCAGTCTTGGTCTAAAGTTTGCTGTTTGCCCAAGTGTTTGGATGGAGGAAGTACTATATGGTAGAGAGCTTCTTTCTTCCTGAAGGCCAGGAGAAATGGTTCAGTCCGAACCACTGTATAAGAAGATGGACAGCACATTCTCAAGAGGAAAGGTGTTTGTATCCACATACTGGAATTTGTCCACCTTGACTGATATAGTGCTGTTGACCTGGAGGTGCTCCAGCAAGAACTGAGAGAGATTCTGGTATATGTTTTTGGTTTGTGCTCCAGACTCACACACTGTCACCAGTGTCTGCTTTTTGACATCTTTGTTGATGAGAAGTTCCAACTTTAGGTCGACAGAATGTTCTGGGCATTTTACGAGAAACTGCAGTTGGCAAATGATGAAGTACCAACCTGGGAACTGGATCACCAGATTCCCATCCTGGTATCTGACTCCATGGACAATGCCATCTTTGTTCCAAGACAACTTGGTTTTGTTTATATGCTTTGACACTGGAAAGAGAAAGACAAAAAAACAGAATTATTGGGCAAATTTCAGGGACAGATTGGAAAATTTGAAGTCTTTGTTCAAGGTTCTCCATTCAAGACCCATGTTTTCTATAATATTGCCTGCTGTCCCAACCACCTGGAATATATTCCATGTTACACCTTCTAGGTGCTGCTTAGTAATCAAGGCATAGGTACAAAACCCTTTCTTCCTTTTCTCTAACGCTCAAAGCTGGAGGATCAGAACACACATGATATTAGACCTCCACTTCCTACAGAATTGTTTTCCACTTAATTCTTATATTATTCTGTTGTCATTATAATTATTATTTTTTCCTTTTCAGACTATAAACTCTTGAACTGGATTCCCCATAAGTTCTGGACTATCATGTTCATTTATTCAATCAATCAGTGAACATTTGATCAATGGGGATTATTATTTGGTGGACATTGCACAAAGTTTCAGAGATAGGACATTCAATTTTGTTCAATGAGCAACTGATTAAGGCATCAAGATGTCCAGGAGAATCTCAGACTGTTAACTTTCACATTAAGATGCATCCTTTAACCATTCGTTGTCTGAATTTTTGAGTATCTTTCTCTCTTTCAAAGGGCAGTCAGGGGCCAGTCCCGTGGCTTAGCGCTTAAGCGCGCACGCTCCACTACTGGCGGCCTGGGTTCGGATCCCGGGCGCGAACCGACCCACCACTTGTCTGACCATGCTGAGGCC